ACACCTGAATCATTTATCTAAGATTAAAAAGTAGACAGTATACACTGCTTTTGATTTAGAACCTTACTACGGCTTGAAGTATTAGTTCATGGCAGATGCATTCTCCGTTTTTTGTTTAAAGATGCATAATCCGTCATTTGAGTAGGTTACCTTATGTTTAATGTATCACGTACAAGGGGTATGATTAAAGACACTGGCTACCATGAGATCTCACACGGTCGGTATGAATGGTGACGACTAGGGGGGTTTTCACGACCTTGATTACCCATGAGGGTCTTCCACGGTCATAGCTCATGCATGTAATTAACGTGTTTACACATTAATGTATAATAATCTTTCAAACATTGTTTGCCTCTAACAATATAAGAAACAATACTGATCGTTTGATTGCAACAATTTATCAAAATAAAGATTGAATTAAAGCCTGAACATTTTGACATTGTTTTTTTTTATCCGTTTCGGTTTTTTAAAAATCCCGTGTGCGCAATTTAATGTAATTATATGTATATATATGTAAATAGTTCGTCTATATATTTATAAGTTAAATGAGAAAGGGTGCCAGAGAGATAGTAAGACGCATGAAGTAGAAAGAGAAATTAAACAAGAGATCTAAGGAGAATGAAAAAAGTGAGGAAATGCACATGGAGATAGAAAATTGATTAAGTCTATACAGATTGGAGAGGCAAAAAATCTACCAGATTGGGAAAGGGAAGAGAAAGCGGATGAAAGATGCAGTCGATATTGTTAAATACTGAAATAGATATAACATATAAATTAATGTATGAGCTTTTTCAAAACTCATTTGAATAGCCCTATTTGTAATTTGTAGTATATAAGATAGGCATCCGACCCTACCTTTAATAATAAGAGGGTAATTTTTCAATTGTAAGTTAGTCCTGTCGCAATATAAGGTTTCAAAACCTAATAAGAAAGTTTTTTTGGAAACTATCTTTTCATTTATAGACTTTAATGATTTTGCAATTTGCTAGTCTCCTTCGATTGCAAAAAAAAAAAAAAATTTCCTTTTCGGTTCTTTTCTATTCTTTTTGGTCCTTTTCGGTCCTTTTCTGTTCTTTTCTGTAAATCGTCGCTCTTTTCTGTAAGTCGTCGGACCCGATCTACAACATTTTAAAAGTTGCAATTGGTGCTATGTAAATGTGACCTACAGTCACCTATCATTTTGTCTGCTACGACTGTAAATGGTATTTTTAAAATATTTCCAATAAACAGTAATTTTCAACGTATTACAAAGAGGATAATAAAAAAAACATAGCACTTTTTTATTTTACCGCACATATATGCTCAAATAGTTTTCCTTTTAGATATTTAGATCTATCATTTTTGTTAGGACTACATTAACTTGCGTATACACTTTTCGTAGTGCAACGGTTTTGACGTTGGGTGACTGGCAGTAACCCTTCACATAAGCTTTTATCCTCGTGCATTATTTTGCGGTATCACGAGGACAAATCCGGCTACATGTATTTCTGTTGTTCCGTTTTTTTTTTTTTTTTTTTTTTTTACTCTTATAGTTGATGTGTTTCACTCGGGTATAGTTTGTATTCCGGATTTTTTTTTTCTCTTAATCGTTTTATGACTTTTGAGCAGCGGTATACTACTGTTGCCTTTATCTGATCCAAAAATTCCTCTACCCAATTTGTATTAGATTTGAAAGTAATACAAGGACCGAATCTACCAATATTTGGAGTTTTTACTTAATAATGAATTAAAGAAACATATGGAAAAAGAAAACAATCGATTACGGTATAATGTCTCGCTTCTGTTTGACTATTATTTGAAGGTCCGTTTTGGTCATATAGCTCTTCCAACTGTTTCGATTTTTATTCATCCTTGGACTTCAAATATGCTTTTAGCGTTCCTGATATTGGTAAATCCAGAAAAGTGTTTTGGACGAATTGAATTTACAAAGTGTTCTTTTTATTTTCAATTGTGTTTTAATGTACTGAAAAAAGTAAAATCACTAAATACCAAGGAAAATTCAAAACTGAAAGTCCCTGATCAAATGGCAAAATCAAAAGCTCAAACACATCGAACGAATGGAAAACAATGTCATATTCCTGACTTCGTACAGGCATTTCCTTATGTAGCAAATGGCGGATTAAACCTGGTTTTATAACTAGCTAAACCTCTCACTTCATGACAGTAATAGGTAAAAATGTCAAAAATAGGGGTACAGCAGTAAACATTGTGTCATAATCTTTTCCAGCCTACAAGATAAATATCTAACAAAAAACAAAGGACAAGCATGTGAAAAACTATAGGTCACCGAAAGACCTTGATCAAAACAACACTATGATATTAGTGAGCATTTAATTCAGATGAATTGTAACAATATTACTAGTTATTTCCAAGGCATATATGGATTTACCTTAGTAAGTTTGGTCTTCAATTTATTTGGTTTTCTAATTGTTTCTAGATACAGAGTTCGATATATCCGAAACGAAATAGGTGCTGCTGAATAAAATTATATGTTTCATATTTTGATGAGTTTTATAACAACTGGGCCGATACCACTGCTTGAGGATGTCATGCCCCCGGGGTATTACCAGTCAAGTAATTCACTCTACTACTCATATTGGGCTGACATGGAATATCATTCAAACAGTCATTTTATGTTTATACAAAGGTTACAATTATCTAATACAGATTTTTTTTCTACCTCTGGACATAGTTGCCATTAGCCATATGCTTCAGCTTCATAACAGATATCTGTAATATTGAAAGGTTCAATTCACAAAGCAACCATTGGTCCTAAGTTATACGCTTAAGCAGCACAGCTAGAAAATCGATCAATATAAGCTGAATTATCTTATTGCTTAACTACATACTTATTCTGCATGATATTAAACTTGAACTTTTAACAAATAGTTATTCATGAAAAATATTGTTAGTATACACTACAAATTGTCTTTATTTGACTTGATTCGGCTAAAACTGTAACGCATTTTATATTATTGTGAAATAGAAGAGTCAATAATTCTTATTTTCAGGTAATCATTTTAAGTAGAACGTTCTAATAATTGAGTATATGTTCTGCAAGTACAAGTTAATGTTTTGTACAACTGTATAGTGATACATGATACAAATACGGTTATGTACTTAATAACAGTATAGTGATAGATATTGTCACAAACGTGTTGATGTACTTTTAAAACAACAGTAATCTGATACATGTTAACGCAAACATGTTGATGAACGATACAAGTGTATTTGACTTTCCAGGGACTCATTTCTAAAAGCCAGAATCTGATTTAAAATTACAATTAAATACGAATTATTTCCCCTGTTGGGAAGTATACTGGTATACTAGTTCGTTGCGGTTGAGACCAATGATGAGAGGTTTATTGAAAACATTGTGTTACTATAATCAACAAATACTTTCAGCTTGATATTGAAGTTCAATTACAAAGATATTGAATGGCAATACCCCAGGGATAACCAAATATCCAAGAAAGAAGCATTTGTAGTATATTTATATCGTATGTCTAATAAGATTATACAATAGAACGTACATAAAGTGTTAGCACCGTCTAAGGTTTTTTCATATCATTTGCAGACGTTGCATGTTTGTACTGGATAAAATCTTCCATGGCGATTTTTTTCTACTTTTTTCCTTGTATATAATGAATCCTCCGGAAGTTGATTTCAAAATTTGTATTACTCTTGACTCATGACTGGTTTATTAGATACCGTTGCAAATTTGATTCATTTACTTAGTATCAAAATATAAAATAAATGGTTGTCTAACCGCTTACACGTGTTAAAAATGAGGAGATAACTCACTGATTGAAATAGCGCCAAACATAATTGCAATACCAAAGGAGCAATAAATAAAGGAAACAGTAGTATACCGCTGTTCAATAGTCATAATTCGATTAAGCAAAAACATATCCGGGTAACAAACTAAAACCGAGGGAAACACATCAACAATAAGAGGAAATCAACGGAACAACAGAAACATTGAACTACAACAAAAACAAACGCCAACATACATAGAAACGGACTGTCTGATAACAACTGCCATATTTGTGACTTGGTACAGGACATTTTAAGAAAAATGGTAGGTTGTATTTGGTTTTATGTCTAGCCAAAACTCCCGCTTATATGGCAATGATAAAAATACCGCTTAAATGACAACACTATGTGACAGGAATACAGTACAAACAAACGCAAGAACAAAAGATACCAAATTGGACATTAAAAATCATGAGTTGAAGGGAAACGAACAACGTCATGACCAAAAAAAGAAAGACGACGAAAGACGACGAAGGAGAAGTAAATTGTTATGTAAATGATGTATTCGATATGAGACTAACAGTGTTTTAGGAAAGCTCTAGAAAATGTACACACACAGCTCGTCAAAAAGTTTACACGTTAATTATGGTGATAGTGATGATAAATACAAATGTAGTTCTATACAAAAATACAAAAAAAATCATTGATTCTATTTGATTTTTTAAATATTTGTGAGATATTTGACTGATTTTTTTTTTTGAGGGGGGGGGGGTCGTTACAGACTATTTACATAATACGTTACAGACTGTCTTCAAACTAGTTTAACCCCGCCACATTATGTATGTGCCTGTCCCAACTCAGCAGCCTGTAATTCAGTGGTTGTCGTTTGTTGCTGTGTAACATATTTGTTTTTCGTTCATTATTTTGTACATGAATTAGGCCGTTAGTTTTCTCGTTTGAATTGTTTTACAATTGTCATTGCGGGGCCTTTTACTACTGACTATGCGGTATGGGCTTTGCTCGTTGCTGAAGGCCGTACGGTGACCTATAGTTGTTAATTTCTGTGTCATTTGATCTCTTGTGGAGAGTTGTCTCATTGGCAATAAAATTACATCTTCTTAAATTTATATTAAATGAAAAAAAAGCTCCTGAAGGTGGATTCTTCCTCCGAAAAAAGTATATGCTGCTAAAAAGGAAAAATTAGATCCCTATCATTGAATGGGAAGACTAAATATTATAAAACAGTTGATTCATGCTTTTTATTCAAATTTTCTGCAACGTAACCAGTATCCAGGATATATCAAAATTTTAACAGGTGTCGTTTAAAAGAAAGATGTTTGCTTAAAAGTCGTACCTATAGGTAATTCAGTAGCCTACTCTTAACTATCATTCCTATCATGTTCAACATGTTCAAATGATTTCTTGGTCACTAAGTAACTAAAATTACATCTAGGAAAATGTTGTTTCGACCAACTAGACAGACGTATTTGTCTATACTTTTAATTTCAATTATAGTTTATGCACAACTGTTACAACATTTCATCTTTCAGACTCTTGTGAATTCCTGTGTCATCGATACTCCACTTTCAAGTTCCTGGATTGTCTACAAAATAAGTTGAATATAATTATATTCTAGAATACAATTCCAAAGGGTTCAATGTTTGTTTAATTCTAAACTGGTTTTAATATGATAAATAAATATCATTCTGTCTATATTACTGCTTGAGTGTATGCTTGGAAAATATGTCTGCTGACAAAAAAATTCGGAATCGCAAAGAGTCTTTAAAGCTTCCTCTTTTTATCTAATCTGTGAATGTTGTTGAATAATAAGTATATGTCTTGGGTTCGTGAAACGTTCGAAGTGTTCAAATTCTAGTCTGTTTTGTTTTTATTTTAAGCACAGGGTTCGTCGTTCATTCATCGAATAATTGAAAAGGAAGACATTGAAACTGTCTCTGCATTCATTGGTAAGAACAAACATGGGTCTACAAGTTAAGCAGACTTGTTTCAGACATCACGTCATACCAACAAATCAAATCTTAGTTTACCAAAAGCCAAAACATAATTATCTATCCTTTCTGTTTGGGTTGAATACTAGTTTTCTGCTCATATAATTGGAGTTGATCCAGTTTGTATTGTTACATCTGCAGTGTCCACGTTTTGGTAACTCGTTTGAAATTATAAAATCATAAAATCTTTGAATTATATTGGTTACATTTCAATTATAATTGTATCATATATATAATTACAGATTTTTTAATTGATGCATTTATAGATACTGAACAACTTTTGAACAGTCTAAATGAAAAACATGTACAATTTAAGACTTGTTTATGCAATAATTGAATAATTCAGTAAACACGTTTCATCTTTTTACCTTCAAATCATGTTCATTTGGTCGATCTCAAAGGTATGTGAAGAACTTGAGTTTTAGACTGGCTACAAAATAACCTTTACAAGGGATGACAATTTTGGATATCCCCCCTCCTCAGAAACCCGTAATTTTATATTATTCCAGCTGTGTTTAATATTATATTCTTGAAATGTTCAATTGATGGTTGAAAATTGAGTAACATAAGTGTCTCTTGTAATCTGAGTCGGATATATTATTACCAGTTTGCTACTGTTAAACAAATATTGATTTCTGTTACGTTGTTGTTTGACGTTTATTGTAAACTTTGGATCAATCTTGGATCATTTAGATTAGTTGTGGCGCGTTGTTGTTTGGATATGTTGTTTATTTTTGTCTCTTCAGAAACATTGGCTTCAGTAAAACTATGTATTCCAACTAAATAAGTAAATCTCAGTATAACAAAATATACTGTACTTTTTAGCTTGTTATCTTCTATACACATTGTCGGTTAATTTATGATGATTGATATAGTAGTTAGAGATTCGACAAACACAGCCATTTCATCTAATTTGGTGTTATGTGTATATATATATTTGAATTTAAACATTTTCTGTAATGGCATTTAAAGAAAACTAAATCCATGGAAAAGTAGGGAAGATGTACTGAAAACACGAAAACATATAGATGTTGTATATCAATTAACTACTCAAAACCCTTTCACGCTTTGACCTAACCAAAAGCTAACTTAAAGGGAACCGCGATTTCATTCTCACCATTCATCTCACTTACAATGAAGCCTTTATCATGAAGATAACATTCACACCTCACAATTGTAAGACAGCACTTATTATTGGTTGAAGTGAATTATTTGATAGCTACTAATACGCCTTATCGCTATTTGTCCGCCATTACTGGACATCACAAAGGTTCCCGTAAAAGTTGACGTCATAATAGAAAATATCTTTCGCCACAATGAAAAAGTGATTGTTGTATGACGTCAATAATTCAAGCGGCGCAGATTCTCGGGTCAACCGGCGCAGATTTCCAAATAGCAATAAGGTTTATCACGCTAAATCACGGATGCGGAAGACTAATATATCAACAAATAAGAGATTAACATTCAAATTACTATTTACTTCTATAGTAACTCTAAGTAAAATCTTTGAAAAAATAAGGAGATGTGGTATAATTACCAATGAACAACTATCCAAAAAAAAAGTAAAATCACAAAAATACTGAACTCCGAGGAAAATTCAATCGGAAAGTCCCTAATCACATGGCAAAATCAAATGACAAAACACATCAAACGAATGGACAACAACTGTCATATTCCAACAGAGTTCAAATTATGCGGATTTAAGCAACTATAGATCACCGTATAGTCTTAAACGATGAGCAGAACACATACCGTATACCCAGCTATCATATATAGGCCCCAATATAACAAAATATAAAACAATTCTAACAAACATATTATGGCCTGATTTATGACATATTTATACAGTGAACGAAAATTATATATGACAGACAACAATCAACGACAACCGCTAATTACAAAAAGTGGTACCAGGTTGTAACTACTTACAGATATCATCTTGTCACCATTTATTTCTCGTACTGCTTTCAGGCTTTTCCAGCCATTTTCATCTTCAGTCTGTTCCATAAGAGTCATTTTAGTATCAGAATCAAACGTTGCGGTTAACTGAAAAAAATAATGTCTCGATTACAGCATGAAAAAATAAAGCAAACGTGCGAATTATTCGAAAAAAATTACTCGCTCTTCAAATCAATAGGTCTAAATATAATATGAACTGTCTACATTTTTTTTGGTGAACATGTGAACAACTTTTACGTTTAATCACAAGTAATGGCGCTTTGGTATTTTTGCCTACAAGATAAATATCTAACAAAAAACAAAGGACAAGCATGTGAAAAACTACAGGTCACCGAAAGACCTTGATCAAAACAACACTATGATATTAGTGAGCATTTAATTCAAATGAATTGTAACACTATTACTAGTTATTTCCAAGGCATGATATATGGATTTACCTTTAGAAAGTTTGGTCTTCAATTTATTTGGTTTTCTAATTGTTTCTAGATACAGAGCTCGATATATCCGAAACGAAATAGGTGCTGCTGAATAAAATTATATGTTTCATATTTTGATGAGTTTATAACAACTGGGTCGATACCACTGCTTGAGGATGTCCTGCCCCCGGAGTATTGCCAGTCAAGTAGTTCACTCTACTCTACTACACATGTTGCAATTATCTAAAACAGATTTTTTCTACCTCTGGACATAGTTGCCATTAGCCATATGCTTCAGCTTCATAACAGATACTGTAATATTGGAAGGTTCAATTCACAAAGCAATCATTGGTCCTAAGTTATACGCTTAAGCAGCAGAACTAGAAAATCGATCAATATAAGCTGAATTATCTTATTGCTAAACTACATACTAATTCTGCATGATATTAAGCTTGAACTTTTAACAAATAGTTATTCATGAAAAATATTGTTAGTATACACTACAAATTGTCTTTATTTGAATGTGAAATCCGTTTACAACTAAGTTTCATGAGACATTCAATTGACACTTACATTCAATTCGTTAACAATAGCAATTTTTAAAAAAACATGTTTTTGGCATATTGTCTTAGCGTATGTGCTTTCTTGGTTAAATCTACTGTAAATTGCGGAATGGACAATCTACTAGGGTGAAAAGCAACTCTAATAAGTAAGTAGAATTAAATTCTTAAAAGAAGAAATAACGTAAACTTTCTGTTAAATATTTAAAATTCTAATGCAATTATTTTGTATCAATGGCTCTGATTGGATGACGACAAGCGTAAAATTCTCTATCTCCCTGTCTGGAACTAAGGAAGCCGACATTTTGAATTCCGGAATATATTGACAAGTAATTTCTCCAATAATAAGCAAAAAAACTCACATTTGGACCTACAAATCTTCTTTTCATCAAATTTTATTACATTTTGAAGCGGACAAGAAGCCAGAAAACACCCGGTGTTAACGTTTGATGCCGGAAGCACACCTATGACGTCACCTAGTTTAGGCGGCAAATCAGATAACATGATTTCGCGGAATTTTCGTTTAATGAAATATTTACACTGAAATAATGACTAAAATTGAATGATTTGTTTATTTTGCATTAGAATAGAGATAACTGTATTGTATTTGAAGCTTTGCGGACGTCCATCGGTAGTTTTACTGTCGCAAATACCCGTTTACCCACTACGCGTCGCCAGTACTAAATCTGCGACAGTAAAACTACCGATGGACGTCCTCGAAGCTTCAAATACAATACAGTTATCTCTAAATTGATACATTTTCAGTAACACAGAAAATAACAAAATATCCAAGGGGATTTAGACGCTTTGTAAAAGGATTTAAGACAACTAGTATTTGTGTTTTCTCACGATGATTTATACAATTTTCATTATATTAATTAAAAAAAGGAAGAAAATAATGATGGGCAACTCATAATCCGACGTTGATAAAAAAAAAAAAAAAAAAAAACATAAATTGGTCATCTGGCAATAAATTAACGGCATGACTTATTGAAACATATACTATTACGCGAAAAGTTGCCTTCGCATATACATGTACATGTTTATATAAATGTTGTGTGTATGTATTTTTTTTTTCTTATTGAATACATGATAACTTGAGTTTATGTGTACCTTAAGACCTTTTCCGAACATATTTGTGGTTACTAGTTCCTTCCCTTCTTGGTAACTGTACGTCCTTTTCGGTGAAACAGAAGATTCGCTTTCAACCGACCACATGTCTCCATCTTTACTGATCGTAGATGTCCAGGTAGAGTCTCTAAACTTCTCTAGTAATTCACCAGGAAGGCCTAAAATCATAATTCATGCAACAGATACAATATGTGATTGAAGATTTTACTTTCCAAATACTTTAAAAGTTATGCCCGAGTTACAAAATGCCTCAATCGTCTCCGTATGGTTAATGCATCTCAGAAATGCGTAGATTTTGAAGAGTTTGTGTCAAAAATGAAAAACAACACTTTATGAATTTCATGCGTCCGAAAAAAACTCATCATTGATACCAGGATTCAAATTTTGTACGCCAAACGCGCGTTTCGTCTACAAAAGACTCATCACGTGCAATTGATGATCGAAGCCCTTTTCTTGATTTACTTTCTTAAGGCAAAATATTCCAAAGCCAATGATATATAAGAACCGTAAAAGTTGACGAGCTATATGACTAAAAAGGACATAAAAATAATAGTTAAATTAATCTAGGGTCAAGTTTCCCTAACAACTCCTTAAACTTCCTTTGTGGACCAAAATCCCTATAACCCCTCAGACACGGTTGTACTCTTACTTAAACTTATTTAATAGTTACAGAGTTTTTGCGGTATGGACAATCGATGTAAGATGGATGTTTCATAACGGACTGCAGACTTTATATGTTATTCGTGATTTTCACTGAGGATATGAGCACATATTCAATGCTTGTGCTTGTAATCCCTGAGCTGTCAGACGAAGGGGATATAAAGCACTGACAGGGATTATGAACCCATATACCATTTGAATCCCGAAAAACAATTTTATTATATAGGAGTTACCCGATTTTAACATTACCATTGTGATCTTCATTTTCGTTCACATGGTATATGGGCTCACCAATCAATTTGTATGATTAACTGTGATATATCACAGCAGTATAATATATTTCATTAATTGCTAAACGTTCACTTACTGATTTGTATCCTTACCAAATTAGTCTCCGTACTAACCTTTGAATAACAAATATATTTCTATTAGTGTTGGTGGTGGTAATTAGTATTGTCAATCTTTATGGGTTTTGTGTATTTCTTTTATTGATTACGCTGCATATGATATTTGGTTTTCTAGCTATCTGTTATTTATCAATTGCATAATTAGATGCTGTACATTGAATTGGTGTAGACGATATTTTATTTTTAAGTTAGGAAACGTAATGTTGAGTATATGGTCAAATATTGTTGTAAACTTAAGGGACAGTTATCTTATTAAGTTAAAGCTTGAGCCTTTGAATATCATTTGCACTGGTCGAATTGACATTTAATTAATAGATTTTTGTAGCCCTTGTTTGATTGGGGGGAATTTATAGTTGTTAGAGTATTGGAAAGTTGGTTAATACGTAAAGCTCTGTATATGAATAATCTTGTAATTTATAGTTAGTTATTCAATCCATATAGATTTTATTGTTTGATATAAAACAAAGGGGTTTCTGATTTTTATAATAAAAGGAAAGCCGGGGTATGATGGCATTAGAAGATGTACTGTTGAAACCAAGTTATTTCAAAAGGCATTCAAAATAGCTATTTTGGATACAAACCAATATTGCAAGACACGTTATTTTCTGGAGCAAGAATATAGTTTATAAGCATAAGCCTTAAAACATCCACGCTCTCCGGATTCCTTAAATGTCTAAATCTTTTGGACTCATAACTATTGTTTTTCAAAAGATGAGGGATCTATCGTGGTCCCAATTTAGCAAAATATTTTATTACACCGGCAGGTTTTTCTACTATTTTCTCGCGTAGTCCCCGATGTCTGACAATAATCTTATTTTCTTTTTCAACCTTACAGATAGCAATTCGCAAAATGTAGCGTATTGACAACGTAGGATGCCCTACATTAATTTTAGATACATAGTTATGATTACATGTATGAATGTCTGAGACGTCCTATGATACAAATGAAAATAAAATGCCAATTTTGACTGAAAGAAGATGAATGGTATATAATAAATAAAAAGGGAATGTATTTGTAGATGAGACAGCAACCCAACGACACTAATAACCAACAAATATCTATGGTGATTTATAGCAAAAATGAAGAAAATGTACATCAAAAACTTCACAAATAAAACTGCTAAACGTTGTATCCTTTCAATTTGAATAAAAAAACTTACCCATAGCTTTACCAAATGCTTCAAAATTTGACATTGAGCCTTTGCCAGCCTGCCATTTTCCTATGAATTGAGCCATTTTGTTTAAGTTGTAATTTTTTGTATATACTATCAATGTCGGCCGTTCAAAGTATTACACTATGTGTGGTTTGCAGGTTAGATAAAGGTAATTACGAGCTCACTTATCGTACCTGGTACTTATAATCTCCTATGTAACTCAAATATGTACAAGGGTTAATAGAATCATGTGCAAAATAGTGTAGCCGAGACCATTGATTGGCGCGCTAAAATATCCAATTGACTGGGTCAGATTAGGTGAACGTTCGTCTGTAACGCCCACAACTCACGACTTATTTATTATAGACATTTAAACTGTGGGGTCACCAAAGGGTCTCAACGCCTAAATAAAATAATTCGAAAAACTAATCAGGAATAACCTTTGTGTTTTGATTTATATTGAATACTTAAACGTTCTTTACTTGTGTTTTTGTTATGTTTTGATAATGAATTTTTATGATATCGGACGTTCTTTCAGCAAAAACGGATTTAACTGGCTTTAAAAGTTACAATGGATGTGTTGATTATTATCTTTTTTTCGGACGTCAAATCGATTTAACAATTGCGGTTGTCCAATTATGTCATCTTTTAACTTTTATCTGGTCAAAATTTTATTTTAGAACGAATGCATGATCAACTTTAAAAAGTGTGCAAACACAAAACATATAGACAAAATATACTTCTTTCCTGTCTTTTTCGTACTTGCAAGTTATTAGACAGTAAAAAGGCTATTTGGATCAAGCCTTGTGAAATTTGCATTTACGTTTTTGAATAGGTACAGTCAAGTTTAGCGATTGATAATTCATTGATAACATTCTGGCGTATCACAAACAAACAACTTTTAACGTCTCATTTCATTGGCCGAAAGATTAAAATACAACAACAATTGTAGTGTGCACGTGAATTGACACAGGTGACCGACAATGGAATGCACTACGTTACTACGAACGTAAAAAACAATGATTTTTGGTCGAAATAATTAAATAAGTATTTTGTGAATTTCAAATAGTGGGGTCGAAATATTTTACTAACAATTTGTGTTAAGTAATATTCTTTATGCATGCAGCACTTGTACCGCACTATGAAAAATATAAGGATAAAATAAAATACATGTGCCGCTTTTATACGGATGAATGTATGAACCACTTTAATTTCTTTCATATTGACGCTAGGTTATTATCCTGACAATGTCGTAGTTACTTATAATAAGGATCTCATAATACTGATCTATTTCAAATTTATGATGGGTTGCACATTCCTCTTTTATTGTTTTCATGCTATAAAACGAAAATAAAGTAGCTAAGCGTTTGGTCATTCAGAAATGACGTGTCATAAACGAGCAAATTGTCCCCGAAAGATCGTATCATGTGTGCACGTGAATATAGATGTACTTTGCATCATGGTCATCACGAAATTCAAATGAATTCAGTGAAGGCATGTTGGTGTAAAAAGGTTTGAAATGTTTCATCGGCGAAGATTTTATTTTTGCATGTGTGGAACTAAAAAATAAATAAATACTTGTGAGAAATGTCGTAGTTTGTAAGGAACTATATAAATGTACTGTTTTCGATTTTAATTGGTTGAAAATTTATCCTTTAATTTCATACCGTAAGAATAGAGCTTTGCATAACATTGTTGAACTATCTGCCAAAGTAACGTGTGGCATGCGTGCGTATTAAAATGAAATACAAAATCATGCATGTATGATAAACTTATAAACGAAATATTAAGAAATTAAGGATGACTACTGTAAAAGTATGTACAAAAATGGAGTCACCTTTTATCAATACATTTAGTGAATAACCACACTGTTTAAAACTGATTGTTTTCTATGCAACTATTTAAATATTTACAATATATAATTGTCAACCGAGGATAGCAAAACAGTTAATTATAAATTAAGAAAGTATATCGCTGGAGTTTATAAAGTACATTTCCTTCCACTGTGCCATGGTTTGCCATCTCCATTTTTTCTCTTAACAAAGCATGGCTGGTTACATGTTCTGAATTTCCTTAGAATTTCGGGATTTTTTTTTCAAAATCAAGTAAACTAAATCAGAAAAAAATCACACTATCCTAAAACTTATGAAAGAATATGAATAATGAACATGACAGTTTATAACACAAACCCATTTACTATAAAAATCGAGCAATATCTTTAGTATGTAATTTGGTTATTTTTGTAGTTAAGTACGGTTTCATTTCAAGTACAACGTTAATTCATCAAGTCCATTGAATAAAAGATAAGGCAGGGTGAGCAACTTGACAAAAAAAAGGCAGGATGACGATTTATGTAAAAAAATCAGGATAAACTAATAAATATAGTCAGGACCTAACAGACTGAAAAATAGAAAGACAGGACAGAGATAACAACTAAAAAAAAAAATGCAGGACAAAATGTTTCATCCAAGTCCCCCACCCCCAATCAAAATAAAATGGTAGCTCCCTTAATCCAGAACCAATTGAGAGGAGACAGTTTAATTAAATATTTCGACGTGACTGTTAAGATTAAAGTTTGAAATTTTACATGCACATGTATAAAAGCTAGAATTGCCATGGGATAATCAAGAAAACAATTATGTACGTGAATACGACGATGGAAGTTTTTAACGACCTTGACTGACTACGTGAATACTGACCAGTCCATTCAGCTTTATAGTACGCGTGTTCTATTTTCGCAGGTGTGAGGTCGAAGGTTTGAATTGACCAATGAAAACGATCGTTCCTTAACTAGTTAATCTAATAAAGTTTGTTTGACTGATTACGTTGCACGACCTTTCGCTAAGCTTGGCCGCAGTTCAGTATACAATGTATAGTTTGATGATCTTTTCTGCTAACTACTATACTTGTGAAAAACCCTTGGCAACAGAAACATATTCAGCTTTTTTTTTAATCAACCCAATTTACATAGTAATGGACGACTTCGTACATTTTATGATCGCAAATAAAATATGTATATAATATACTGTGCACTGTAGTACGTATATATACTGAGACCCTTTGGCAACCCCACAGTTTAAATGTTTATAATAAATACGTCGTGAGTTGTGGGCGTTACAGACGAACGTTCACCTAATCTGACCCAGTCAATGGGATATTTAAACGCGCCAATCAATGGTCTCGGCTACACTGTTTTGCACATGATTCTATCTTTTTACTAATCTTATGAGGTCCAATTCGTGTCATAATTTTCAATTTTTCATTCAGTTGTATATGATAATCAATTATTCATCATAATTAAATACCAGAATTAACAAAATAAATGTATATTTATTTCAAACATGATATTTTTCAAGAGCATTAGGGATAGTTTTTTTTTTTTTTAACCAATTGCGGGTATTTATACCATCTGAAAATGAAACTAAAAAGAATCGAGAGATATTGGGTAAATAAACAAAAGGTCTACCAGATATTTATGTTTGACTATAGTTATTTGGATAACAAGACTTAGTATTCGTTGTGTTGTTTTGTCACAAATCATATCAAAAGTGGAAGGGCGAGTTAGCACAGAAAATTTGTAGTCGAACCAATATTTGAACAAAACCTATGGGTTTACGTTCTAGATTAAGTGGTTTGTGTATGGAGTGTTTGTTTGTCCTTGTAATCATTGTTGAGGTGGCAGAGGAATTCAGACTGTCGGAGCATGGCCGGTCATCGCTATCAAAATTTTCCATTCATAAAATGTTTAAATACTTTCATTCAAAATAGAAAAAGTAAGAATGAATTAGTTTATGTAATTAAGAGTAAAAAAAAAACATGTGGCTTTGGACTTGGATTTATTGTGTAAAACAGATACATGTAATGTGCAGGCATGTGACTGTTCTATCTATGAATTATATATGATCCTTCCACGTCAATGAGTTAGCAACATAACAACTGAAACAAAATTAAAAAAAATATCGAAAACAGGTCAACCGCACTGCAGATACAATAGTTAACACATATCAAAATCTGGTGTATAAGATTGCGAAATCAACTGTATTGCAATGGTAATCGTGAACACAGATTATACTGTATCTACCGTAGTGATAGGCGGTATTAGGCATTGAAATAGTTTCCTGACTATTACATGATACATATATTACCATACTGAACTATAACATTATATTTTGACATATAAAGTTACTGTCTTCTTCTGTTTCTTCCTATTCTTGTCCTGCTGCAAATGGCATTCATTACCTAGTCAGCCACTTCAATCATTAGAGTTGTTATAAAAAAGTACTTTTAAGATACAAACGAGGTAATTAAAAAACTATAACTTAAAGAAAGGAATAGATAACATTCATTTATCAGTAGATTGAATAGAATGGGAAGAAAATTAAGAAATTTATATTTTTCCATCTTTTTCCGATTCATTACATTTTTTTTATTTTTTTTATAAGTACATAGTATTAAATATGAACAAATTACAACATAATCATCGATGTTTTAACAAGTATGAACATTGAAAAATATATAACGTGCCTGTTACTTGGTAACAGTCAGTATTTGGACAACAGCAACATGCATACAGTTTTTTAACTCAAGAATGGTTTGTTCGTTGCCTTGTTTTGACCTAGATATTTCTAAATTAGTATATAAGGACAAGTGAGGTCAGGAAATGTCTACCCAAACCAATATTTGAATGAATTCAATAGATTTACCCTTGAGATTAAATTGTTTGTCTGTGGGGTGTTCATGTTTAATATAATCTTTAAGGTGATGGAGGTATTTGGTGTGTGCATGGTTGTAAGATTACTCATATCTCATCGTAAAAATTTTCCATTCATAAAATTTATTTTTGGAAATCCTTCAATATGTCCTTGCATTGTCGATTGATTCGTGTCAAACATTTATGAGAAAAACGAAGTGATCATTACAAAATAAATCAGAAATATATTTGACTAATTAATCTTTAACGTATAGTGGCGAATATTAAACGAGGGCGGTAATATGTTTTAAATGATATTAAAAAAAAATTTCGTTTTACTTGACCATGTCGTTTGTTCAATGCGCTGACTCACACGGAGGACATTTCACTCTAATCAGATACCTTATTCAGAAAGTCAAGGGGTTGGCGGAGATGCAGAACATTC